CTCCAGGCTCTTCGTTCGCAAGCCTTGGAGTCGGGCGGGTCTTTCCCGCGCCTCTTCTTCTGCTGCTTGTGGAAGAGAAAGAGAGGGGGAGGCGCCGAAGCAGGGATTGGGGGAGCGACCTGGGGGGAGGGGGATTGCGGGGAGGGGAGTGGAAGGGGGAAGGGCGAGGAGAGGGGGGAGAGAGGAGCGGGAGATTGGCTGGGAGGAGCTGGGAGCGACTTTGGAGCGAGACAACGAAGCAACGGACGGAATGAAGGAGCGAAGAAATATTTAAAGGGCTGGGGAGGTGAGAGAGGGGGAGGTGAGAGAGAGGGAGATGAGAGAGAGGGAGGTGAGAGAGAGGGAGGTGAGAGAGGGGGAGGTGAGAGAGAGGGAGGTGAGAGAGAGGGAGGTGAGAGAGAGGGAGGTGAGAGAGAGGGAGGTGAGAGAGGGAGGTGAGAGAGAGGGAGGTGAGAGAGAGGGAGGTGAGAGAGAGGGAGGTGAGAGAGAGGGAGGTGAGAGAGAGGGAGGTGAGAGAGAGGGAGGTGAGAGAGAGGGAGGTGAGTGAGAGAGAGGGAGGGTAGTCTCAGGGGAATAGGAAGGAGAGCAAGGAGACAAGATGGTCGAATAAACCAGATTGGCGCATTACCTGGTGCAACGATTTCGCAAAAGAATTCCGTTTTGTTCGCACACTCGCGAACACGATCCAGTAAATCGCTGAGGGAATGTTTCAGCTGCCCACTAGTCACCAGCTCGTCGTCCGCTGCGATGGTGACAATCCTCCACGAAATCGGCATGCTGTTACGCTCCGCCCCCAGCAGTCGCAGGGGCATCGCCAGAAGAGGAAAAACGTCGTACACGTCGCCAGGTTCGCGCGCTTGCGACCCAATCTCGAGCGCTTCAAGCGGTACGTTGTCGCACGCCGTTAAGAGAAAATCTGTGCGTTCATGATCAGAATCCCCATCATTCGCATCCCCCCGGGAGAACATCGACATGGATCGCGACGCGAGCACGCACGTCTGCGGCAGGATGCCCGGATTCCACGGCGACGCGATTAGGAGCGCCGACGACGACGACGACTTCGACGACCATTGCGACGGCGACGGCGACGATGGCGACGACGTCTCCGAGTCGCAATCGGTCTGCACTTTGATACGACTGCCGTCTAGGCCCAACACGACCTTCCGCTTCTCCCGCAGGAAAAGGGGGTCGTCGCGGCGACGAAGCTTTCGGCTCCCGGGCCCGCAATCGGCGGACGAAGACTTGGCGGAGCGACAGACGAAGGAGAAGGTGCAGGCGGGGAAGGGGGGACCCGGGTGGCGCGGGGAGGGGGAGGAGAAGTCGTTGGCGGGAGGCGGGGGGGGAATGAGGAGGATGTCGTGCCAGATGGAGGACACGTGGCTGGCGTTGATTAGCGGGAGAATGCTCGTGGACGACGATCCGACGGTCCGCAGCGGCGCCATGATTACGTTGTAGATACCAATGGTACCAATGGTTATGAAGTGAAGCAGCAGAGGCAGCAGAAGCAGCAAGGAGGCAGCAGGGAGGCAGCAGTGGGCAGCAGCCAAGTGAACTATTCGTGTGATGCGAGGATGAAGAGGCGGAAGTAGCAAGGCATTTGGTGCAGGTGTGCGAGATTACGATGAATAACGAGGCCTCGAGCTCCGCCTCTCATTCTCAGAGGCCTCTGAGAACGAGATATAATAACAGTGTCGGATTGGTTGACCGGATTGATCCCGCCGAGTCGGCGGCAAAACGCCGCGAGCATTAACTGCCCCCCGTCCAAGATTTGCATGCAGTCGGAGAACCGACGACGTCGGCTGTCCAATCCGACGTCGAATCTTATCGTTATCTCTCTCCCGTCCGCCGTTGGTCCCGCAAAGTAACGCACGCTCGTGGAGGCCCGAGGAGGAGCCATGTGGAAAATCAGCTAATGGAACCTCTCCGTTACAGTCGGCTTCCTGACTTGTAGCGACTGTAATTACAGGCAGCCAATGCCTGTAAGTACGGAAGCTACAGTTTAGGTGAGTTTGTCGAGGTCTGGTCCTAAAGATTATGAATCACACACTCGTGCGGATGATGCGAGTGAATGCGAGTTTTCTCTGTGGATGATGCATCACACACTCGCTGCGGCAGATCTAGCAGCCAAAAATAGTCATGGCTGCCAAGGATGTCGCGTTCAAGTCAAGCCGACTGAGACCTGGTTGATGGATGCGTGTGCTCAACAGCATTTGCGAGGAGAGTTTTGATACGGTTTCGATCTAGTAAATACGGTTGAGTACGATTTGTGCAATGTGAAGCGGTCTACTCGCTTCATGGTGTGAAGCGCTACTATTAGCCTGAACATTCGTACGGTTAGAAATTTGAGCGAACTTTCGGATCGGAACCAGCTGCATGAGCGCGTGGAGGTTTGGGTGCAAGAGGGGGGAGGTTGATTTGGGGCAGCCTTTTGGTTTTCATTTTACACACGGGTGACCGACGGGACGGGAGGAAGGGAAGCAGTGTGCACAGTTTGCGTTTGCAATCGCAAGCAACGACAAACCGAGCAGCGAAGCGGTTACCGAACCAGCTGCTGGCCCTAGATTCAACCACACTGCGCATCGTGGTTGACGCAACAAGCTCGGAAGCTAATGTATGGCTGGAATCACACGGATTTCCGAACCTGAAGCAGCCAAAGTGGTTCCAGACCAAGCAGGCTCTCCATTCATTGGGGGGATAAAAATTGTTTTGTTTGCACCAGCACCACCATAAAAATTGTTTTGTTTAGCTCTTGGGAGGGCCGCGCGATTGGTGCCTTCTTGGATAGGTTTCGGCTCCATCCATGCCAAGCACTAAAATATCTGGGCTGCTCGAAAGTGTGGTCACAAATATGGGCTCACGGATGGTCGATCGTGAGCAGTCACAGAATGGAGTGGGCGTGTGATTTGGTCACCCAATTCCCCCAAGGATTTGAAGCTGCCAATTTCAAATGTATAGGCAAGCTAAGATAATGAAACTGCACACTACACCACACCACATAGTATATTTAGAGAACGTTGACTTTGCAGAATCTAATCAACTGGCACACACGAGCCTACCTACCCATGTTTCTCAGCTTCAGCATAAAGAAGTGAAATGCCGTATTTGTTTCTGAGGATATCATACTAGAACAAAACTTGAAATTCTCCCTTCCACAAATGCTTTTATTCATGCCATGTCATATCTGTTCATGCTGACTGAAGTGTTGGGGGAGAGTCTACGCTGGGGAGAGAGTAGGAGATCCAAATGGTGAGCGATAGCTTAGGTTCCGCTTGTGCAAGCTACGGCTAGGCACCACCACAAACGGGGATCGGGCCTTCCTTCCTTCCCTTCTCCCCTGCACTTCTCCACCTGTTTCCCCACCTGAGTTCCCACTTGCTGCCCCACATGCAGGAGTTTCCGACCGTCTCGAAATTTCGGCCGTTGCCAAATCCCCGAGCTCCGATAACGACACATTCCGCCTGTGCCTCAGGCCCGAGCTCGGGCTCTTCACAGGAAGCTTAGAAGGAGGAGGCGCCTCAAAAGCTGCTGCAGAGCCCCCGAGCTACAAGAGCGACACATTCCACCTGCGCCTCTGGGCAGAACTCAGGTCAGAGCTCGGGCTCTTCACAGGAAGCAGTCTTTGCGGCGCCTCAACAGTCGTTTCACAGCCACCAAGCTCCGATAACGACTGGTGTCGCCTGTGCCGCTGGCCCGAACTCAGGTCAGAACTCGGGCTCTTCACAGGAAGCTTAGAATGAGGCGGAAGTTTCCAAGAAGGACTGGATGGAGGCCTCATTGTGGTGGTTTGCGCAGTGAGTGGGGAAGCACGAGGAGAGAATGAGAATGCTGCAGCAGTTGCAACAGCACCAGCAGCAGTTACAGCAGCACCAACAGGACCAGCAGTAGCAGTTACAGCAGCACAAGCAGCAGTTGCAGCAGCACCAGCAGCAGTTACAGCAGCACCAGCAGCAGTTATAGCAGCACCAGCAGCAGTTGCAACAGCACCAGCAGGAATTGCAGCAGCACCAGCAGCAGTTGCAGCGGCACCATCACCAGCAACAGCAGCAGCAGCAACAACACCAGCAGCAGCTGGGACCTTCGCTCCCTGACTAGCCTCAGCAGGTTCAGCAGCAGTTACAGCAGCACCAGCAGGACCACCAGCAGCAGTTGCAGCAGTACCGTCACCAGCAGCAGTAGCTGCAGCAGCAACACCAGCAGCATCTGGGACCCTCACTCCCTGACTAGCCTCAGCAGGTTCAGCAGCGATCTTATCAGTGATGCTTCCTGCCAGCTTGCCTATGCCACCTGCAGCAGCACCAACGCCAGCAAAGGTCTCAGCGACACGGGTCCCAACAATGGTGGTGGCAGTGGCTGAGAAGGGCTTTAAGTCAGGGTCCCAAGACACGTGCTTGCGAATTCTTTGAGAGGCCATGGAGGTGACGATTGGTCTGATGGAGGAGTGGCGAGCAGAGAGGGATACGGAGGTGGTGTGTGCGTGGGGAGGAGTGAGAGCACCATCAGTAACCGCCATGGCTTCACCAACCACCCGACCAGGAGGCTTCGGGCTGTGAAGCCAGTCGTTGTTCTTTGCAATTGAAGAGAAGTCGTAGCTTTGGCTGTACATATGCCTGCCCGCCTGCTTCCTTGCAACACTGCCTTTCACTCCTCCTCCGCCTCCTCCTCCTCCTTCTGATCCTGCTTCTGCTCCTGCTCCTCCAACTCCGCCTCCAGTCAAAACAGAAGACTTATACACACCGTTCCTAGTGACTCCCCTCACAATCCCTGGAGGGGAGGAGGCAGGCCCATGCTTGTACAGGGCGTTCGAGTTGGGAGTTGGCGAGAAAGTGAAGGACTGAGGAGGAAGGGGAGGAGCGGATCAAGGAGCGGGGGAGATACGAGGGGATCGCGGTGGGATAGTGAGAGGAGTGGGGTGAGATGCGGAAGTGAGACAGCGGGGTTGAGATGAGGAAGTGAGAGGAGGGGACCGAGATGGGGGACTGATCGGAGGGGCTGACGAGGGACTAAGAAGAGGGGATCGAGATGACGACGTGAGACGGGGGATTGAGGTGGGGGAGTGAGACGGGGGGATTGAGGTGGGGGAGTGAGACGGGGGGATTGAGGTGGGGGAGTGAGACGGGGGGATGAGGTGGGGGAGTGAGACGGGGGGATTGAGGTGGGGGAGTGAGACGGGAGGATTGAGGTGGGGGAGTGAGACGGGGGGATTGAGGTGGGGGAGTGAGACGGGGGGATTGAGGTGGGGGAGTGAGATGGGGGGATTGAGGTGGGGGAGTGAGACGGGGGGATTGAGGTGGGGGAGTGAGACGGGGGGATTGAGGTGGGGGAGTGAGACGGGGGGATCGAGGTGGAAGAGCTGAAACCAACATACGACCAGCAGACTCGGGGCTGTGAAGGCACTCCTTGGAAAGCATCATAGACGAGAAATCGTAGCTTTGGCTGTGCCTATGCTTGCTCACTCCTCCTCCTCCTCCTCCTCCTCCTCCTCCTCCTCCTCCTCCTCCTCCTCCTCCTCCTCCTCCTCCTCCTCCTCCTCCTCCTCCTCCTCCGCCTCTTCCTGTCACACCAACAGGCTTGAACACGCCGTTCCAAGTGGCTCCCCTCACAACGCCTGGAGGTGAGGAGGCGGCTGTATGGTCATACAGGGCACTCGAGCTAGGGCTTGGCGAGAAAGTGAAGGACTGAGGGGGAAGAAGAGGAGGGGATTGGCTGAGTGATGAGACAGAAGGAGGTATGTCCGCTGCGCCTCCTCCTGCTCCTCTTCCTCCCCTCCCCTCTTCCTCCCCTCCCCTCTTCCATGAATGTAACACCAGAAAGAATCTTTCGGGAAACACCCAAAGGAATTGTGCTCATGCTTCTGCGGCTGGTTGCTGCTACAGTGCCTGCTACATACCCTTTAACAGTGCCTGCTATAGCATTCAGGCTGGCAACGACAGCAGCACTGGTAACCGCCGCTGCTCCAGTAATCTGAAGCTTTGCCGCTTCTGCCGCTGCTGTTACACCCTTGGTAGCAGCACCAACCACCGCCCGACCAGCAGTCTCAGGGCTCTAAAGCCAGTCTCCATTCTTCATAAAAAAAGAGAAGTCGTAGCTTTGGCTGTACCTATGCTTGCCCGCCTCTTTCCTTGCCGAGAATTCGCCGGGCTCGGTTGCAGTAGTCAGTCGCCGTCTCCTCGTCACCCATACGCAGGTGCGTCAGCTGTCCCTCCAGCTGGGCGATGAACAGGTCGTCGGTGACCTGGTACGTCGACTCAATGAAGTGCCACGCCTGGTGGCCGGCGTCGATGTGAGAAAACTAGAACGAGAATGAATGAACTATGAAACAGTTGGGTACAAGTACTAACCCTAATTGGGTTGTACCCCTTATGGGCTACCCCAGTACAGCCTACACAAATGCATAAGCTATAATGTTCTGACACACCCCCATAGGCAAAGTGGGGGAGAACAAGGGGTCACAAGACCAGTCAAGCAAAGCAAAGCAAAACGAGCTCAGGGTGGATCACAAAGTCACCACACATTCCGAGCACAAGGTCAAGGCCACAAGGCCAGTTCACATGCAAGAGTACATATATATATAAAAGGCTAGACAAGCAAGAGCAGGTGTATATATATATGTAATAGTACAAGCAAGGTCAAGAGGTGAGCAAGTGAGGCAAGGCAGGCACAAGGCCCAGCTGAGTACAGAAGCGCTGATGATCACAAGGCGCAAGTGCCTTGGTGAAGATATCAACAGTGTTGGCCTCAGAGGCCACGTACGCAAGACGCAGCTGACCACGCTGCTGTAGCTCACAAGCAAGGAAGTAGCAAAGAGCAATGTGCTTCGTTTTGTGCTCTAGTCTCTGCTCTTGACACAAGGCCAGCATGGCCTTGTTGTCAACGTACAGCACTGGAGGAGAACGAGGCGGCTCTCCGAGGTGAGTCAGCAGGTAGGTGAGCCAGCGAAGCTCCTGTGCAGCCATGGCCCCGGCGTAGATCTCAGCCTCACAACTGGAGCTGAGAACAGAAGACGACCGGGTAGCCCGCAACGAAACAGAGCTGGAATCAAGGCTGAAGGTGTAACCCTGTGGCGACCGCTGCGTAGCCTGGTCATCAGCCCAAGAAGCGTCTGCGTGCCCAGTGAGGACCACTGGACTCTGCCCTCCAAGCACAAGCCCCGTGCCCGACGTACTGCACAAGTAGCGCAACACCCTCTTCGCTGCAGCCATGTGCTCCGGTCTGTGTCTCCTAGGAGCAACATAGCGTGCGAGAATGCTAAGAGGGTATGCTAGGTCAGGTTGGGTGCAGGTCATCAGGTACATGAGGCAGCCAACAAGCTCTGGGTACGGGCCACTCGACTCTACGGACTCATCCGAAGGCAGAGCTGAGAGCGAGTGGCGAGTAGGTAGAGGAGTGGCCTGAGGTAAGGAGTACGTGAAGCCGAAGCGCTGAAGGACCTGCTGCACCATGTGTGACTGAGTCAGGGTAATGGTGCGGCGTGCTTTGTCCCAGGTGATCTGCAAGCCAAGGTAGCTGCGCAGTTCACCCAGGTCTGTGCACGTGTGTCTCTTCTGCAGCTCGGACTTCACGTGGGCGAGTCCAGCAGTGTCAGTTGTGGCAAAGACCAAGTCGTCGACGTACACGAGGATGTAGAACGATGGCAAAGAAGTGTCGATGCGCAGAAACAGCGACGGGTCGGCAGTAGAGGGAGCAAACCCAAGAGCCGCAAGCGTAGTCCTCACTATGTCGTGCCACTCACGTGGTGCCTGGCGGAGACCGTAGACTGGCCGGCGGAGGCTCCACTAGGTGCCAGGAGGAAAAGACCCAGTAAAGCCAGGTGGGCGGCGCAGCCAAATCTCCTCGTGCAGGTTGCCCTGCAAGAAAGCAGTGCTGAAGTCAAGAGAGTGGAGCTCGTAGTCACCGTGAGCAGCTACGTGCAGCAGTACCCAAAGAGTGGTCATCTTTGGGGTGGGAGAGAAGGTCTGAAAGCAGTCAACTCCCTGGCGCTAACTGAAGCCACGAGCCACGTAACGCGCCTTGAAGACAGACGGAGAACCCGGCGGCCGCTTCACCCTGAAAATCCACATGCCACTGACGATGTTCGCCCCACGAGGGGGAACCTCATCAACGTAGGTGCCTGTCGACTTTCAGGAAGCCATCTCTGTGTCCATAGCTGCCTGCCACTGAGAGGAGTAGGGACCCTCTATCGCCTCCGCGTAAGAGCGCGGAGTCGGGATATCAAGTGCATCCGGGTCTCCCTCAGGGGTAAGTAGTACGGACATGAGATGAGGTGAAGCAGCAGCCAGACACTGGAAATCCTCCTGCCTGTCCTCAAGGACGTCCGTGCCAAGGGCACACTCACCGCCGACGGACGGAGGACAGACAGACTCAGACTCAGCGACAAGACTAGCAGCGTGGTTTAGGCGATAGCGAGCAGCAAAGTCGCCGAGCTCAGCAACTAGGGCAGACGCAGCACTGGACTCAAAGGAAGGGTCAGTCACGACAGTAGCAAGGAGACGCGTGACCTTGGGACTGGCAGCACGAAGAGAGTCCGACTCCGGGTCGGGAACAGCAGGAAGAGAGGACTCAGGAGGAGAAGGCAAAGGGGCACGCAGAGGAGCAGTGGACGGACGCAGAGAAATCCGGTGCGTGCCAGGGACAGGACGAGGAGGCTGACGCGAACCACGACCACTAGTGCGAGCAGGACGGACAGGCGACACAGGGCGAGACGCAGGCTCACGACGCTCAGCAAGACCTTCAGTAGGACCAGTGTAGGGAGTAGGAGCAGGCACTGGGGAGGCCGGCTATAACTGTAACTGTGACGGGACAGGCTGTGGACACTCTAAGGGAGGAGGAGGACCATTAGAAGGCGGGAGACCAAGAACCTGCTGAAGGAGCGGAACGAAGTACGGCCGAGGCCGCGCGGGGACTCCAAACACAGCAGGGACAGCACCAGTACCCCTAGCGGCAGCACCAGCGCCAGCAGCACCTCCACCTCCAGTACCTCCAGCAGCACCAGTAGCATCCCCAGCAGGACCGCCTCCAGGACCGACAGTAGTAGCCTATGCGCCAACACCCTCAGCAGCTCCAGCTCCAGTCGTACCCGCAGGCCCAGCAGCTCCAGTACTCCCAGTACGAGCACCTCCGGGACCCGCGGCACCAGCACCCTCAGCAGCCGAAGAACCTCCAGCTGCAGCAGCACGCCTCCAGCGCCTGGCAAACCACCCGCGCAGCTCTGGTGGAGAGAGTGGCTCCCGCCGAGACGAAGCACCCAGAGAACCTCCAGGCCCAGCACCCCCAGACGCCACACGAACAGGCCCAGCTCCCGCAGGCTCCACACCCCCAGGCTCAGCACCACCAGACTTAGCACCCCCAGGCTCAGCACCCCCAGGCGTAACACCCCCAGGCTCTGCACCCTCAGGCTCAGCACCCCTAGGCTCAGCACCCCCAGGCGTAACACCCCCAGGCTCAGCACCCCCAGGCTCTGCACCCCCACGATTAGCACCCCCAAGCAGAGCACCCACACGCTCAGCACCCCCAGAGTCAGCACCCACAGGCTCAGCACCCTCAGCAGCACCAGAGTCACCAGTAACCTCGACAGGCTCGACTGCGTCTACCTGGGACACACCTGAAGGGGCAGGACCCTGAGGGGGGAGGGGGTCTACCGGGGGGGGATCTGGTACAAGGAAGAGCGGAGGCGGGGGAAGGGACGGAGTGTGGTAGGGGAAGAGGTGGTAGTAGGGGACTAACTCGTCAAACGTGATGTCTTGGGAGGACAGAACACGGCGAGAGGTGGGGTGGTAGAACTGCCACCCAGGCGCGTCAGGGGGAAGCCAAGGAAGACGCAAGGAGCAGCACGAGGGGGCAGCTTGTCCGCAGACAAGTCGCGGACAAACGCCCGAGATCCCCAGACACGGAACGCAGACGCATTGCCAACCTTCCCTGTCCACAGCAAAGCTGGGGAGGTCTCCGGCCTGGAGACCCTGGGGTGAAGGTTGATCTGATGCGCCGCTTACCGAACCGCAAACGGCCACAGAAAATGGGGGGCAGCCGCATGCATCATTTACGTACGAGCGACGTCCATGACCATGCCAATGCGGCGCTCAGCAATCCCATTTTGCTGTGGAGAGTCCGGAAGCGTGAAGGTCTGACGGATGCCTTGTGCACGACACTAAGCTCATAGAAGGCCAGAGGAGAACTCTCCGCCTCTGTCAGAGTGCAGACGCAGAATAGGAAAGTCCGAGCCGAAGCTCGGCCTGAGCTGGAGACGAGCTGCGCGGATCCAGTCGATCATCACCTCAGTGACATCATCCTTGCTATGCAAGGGGAAGACTGTGGTGTAACGCGAGTAGTCGTCAACCCCGAGCAGGAAGTAGCGCTCGTGACCCTGTCCACGGACGCGGGCTGGGCCCCACACGTCCATGTGAAGCGTGTGTAGCGGGGCCTCTGTCCGAGGAAAATGGGAGGAGTGAGGGGCAGCCCGCTGCCGCCCCTCGACACAGTGGAAACAGGTAGTTCCAGGCCCCGGAGGAAGGGGAGGGAGGGACCGGGAAAGACCAGAAACAAGGAGACGAGAGGCCATGCCTCTAAGACGAAGCAGAGAGGGGTGACCAAGGCGGTGGTGTTAGAGGAGAGTCTTGTGAGACAGGAGGCGACACGAGCAGGGGGCAGACTCAGGACCAGACCTGGACGCTGCAGCAAACACCTGACCCGACATAGCTACCTGACCAGACACAGGGACAGGAGGAGACGCAGTGGTCAGTGTGTACAGGCTCGACCCCAGCCGACGAGTAAACGTGGCCAACTGTCGCCCCGTCCGAGCGTCCGTGCGGTGGGTCACCCGCTGGCTCGCAGGATTGAACTGGTAAACTCCCCCA